TCTAATTTTATGGATTATTTCTTGGGTAGAGATTGAAAATCTGTTTTCAACTTCAAAGTAGGAAATTAGAGATTGAAATCTCTTAGATTTAATGGAGTTGATTTTCATTACAGAGAGATTTAAATCTGTGTTTTGTTTTTTTTTTTTTTGACTGGGAAATTAGAGATTCATATCTCCTAACCATTAATTATTAACTGATTCAATGGAGTATCCATTTGATTAACATGATCGCTGCAAAGCAGGAGGATTTCTGTATTAAATCCTGCAAATCTTAATAACCATGATTAGCTCTATAAGTTAACCAAATTCAGAAGAGATGAACACAGCCTTACGGGGGTGGTGGTGAAAAAAGAAAAATGAAGGGATTAACTTCTGTACTTCTGTTTGTTGTTTCGATGATTTTCTTTTCAGCTTCATCTGCATTACCTTCACCACCAGAAACCAGCTTCCTTCTATGCCTTTACAAGCAATCTCAACCCTCCAATTCAATCTCTAATGCGATCATCACCCCGAACAACTCTTCATTTTCATCTGTTCTGCAGAAATATGGTAGGAACCTGAGATTCTTGACACCCGCCACTCCGAAACCTCTTGTCATCGTTGCTGCCATGGACAAATCTCATGTTCGGGCCACTATACTTTGCTCCAAAGCAGGTGGTTTGCAGATGAGAATTCGCAGCGGTGGACACGATTACGATGGTCTTTCTTATGTTTCGGACGTTCCCTTTGTTTTACTCGACATGTTTAATCTTCGATCTATTGATATAGACTTGAAAGATGAGAGTGCATGGGTTCAATCTGGCGCGACTGTTGGAGAACTTTATTATCGAATTGCAGAAAAGAGTAATGTCCGTGGATTTCCAGCAGGAATATGCCCTACTCTTGGGGTTGGTGGACATTTTTCAGGAGGTGGATATGGGAATATGATGAGGAAATACGGGTTATCGGTTGATAATGTTGTCGATGCTGAAGTAGTTGATGTGAATGGAAATGTTTTAGACAGGAAAGGGATGGGAGAAGATCTGTTTTGGGCAATCAGAGGTGGGGGAGCTGCAAGTTTTTGTGTTGTTCTTTCATGGAAGATCAAACTGGTTCCGGTACCGGAAAAGGTTACAGTTTTTCAAGTGGAGAAGACAATGGAGGAAGGAGCTGTTGACCTAGTTGTGAAATGGCAAGAAGTTGCAGACAAACTCGACGAAAATCTCTTCATCAGACTGATGCTGAGTCCTACGAAAATCAGTACCAAGAACAGTGTAAAAGCATCTTTTGTTGCCATGTTCCTTGGCCAATCTAATAGTCTTCTGTCTCTGATGAATCATAGCTTTCCTGAATTAGGGTTACAGCAGAAAGACTGTATTGAAATGAAGTGGATTGAATCCGTCCCCTTTTGGACTGGTTCTCCGAACGGAACGCAAATAGATGATTTGCTCATCCGAGAATCAAAACGACCAGTTTTTCTAAAAAGAAAATCTGATTATGTTCAAAAACCAATCTCCAAAGCAG